ACTCCCTTCTTCTTCCTCATCAGAGTAGTTAGTCGGTTCTTCGCCAGGTTTCAGAAGCCGGCCAACATAATCATATCTCTCTGGAAAAAAAAAACACGAACTGTTGAAGCTGAGGCACGTTCAAAAGGGGAGGTTGGAATCGGCCTCATACTGTTATTTCTACAGCTACAGCTCTAAATGCTATTACATAACTGAAGACATAAAAAAATTATATTTATTGATTTTCAGTTTCCTTTAAACATGTGCGAGAAACAATCTGTGACTGTGCAGTCTGTTGTTGTGCCTATGTGATATTGCAATATCTCCAATAATTAATCTCTTCTACTATTATAAGTCATTATCTTTTAACACACAATAAGTTTTAAGAAACTTAAAGAATCGCATGAATCCGTTTTGTCCTGCTTTCAAACAATATATGACATGGGCCTCAGTCTGGTTCTATTATTTAGGATATTGCAATATTAGTGCTTGTCTATATGTGTAGCAAGTGTGAAGGCCAAATGTTGATAATTAAATTGGCATGTGTGATTTAAGCTTGTGTGTGTCATGGGTTATTAAAAGACATCATGAGTTATAGGTTACTTAACAACACTACATTGAACACAGCAACTATCTACCTAGTGTTGAATGAGATTAGGAAAGATTATGTATGAAACACCTACAAATTCTGCTGTATAGGTAAAATGCAAAACTCTAAGTAAATGTGTTCAACATAAAACACTGGAGGAGAAGATCATGCCTCTCCTTTCCCTTCTGATGGCTTTGCCAGTAAGAGAAGTTCTAATCATATTGGCACAACTGGAACAGATTGCTGCAAGGATAAACCATTCTGACCTATGAACACAACCAACTAAATCTGTTTTAATTTGAGGTTACAGGACATAAAAAGAGTTTTGGATAAATATCATAAAATACATTGACTTTATAATACAGCAACATAATTCAATTTAGCATATGTTTTAAATTGCTGAGTCAATCATGTGATCAAATCCTACTTAGGTTAGAATGTTTTACTAATTGCACTTGTAGATTTTACAATTATTATTACTGACAATATTCATATTGATGGTACTAACATTTTCTTCTTCAGAAGAACATATTACCTAAGTTCACATTCTATGTATATTAACTATATTGGCCATAAACTCAAGTCTCTCAGTGTTGTTACCTTTGTTACTACTAAGGCTCAATACATAATTTATAAGAATGCTTATGACTGATCTGTATATCATATTTCAGGTACCCAGCTGCTAAGGTTCATTGGCTGACATCACACCAAATAAAAACATGAATTTCATAATTTTGTTATTTTAGATTCTTAACAGAAATTGCCTATTTTTCAAAGATGCTTTATCACATATGATTTGAGTATTCTACATTAAATGAAGCTAGTGTAGCTCCCACCTTACAAGTCTAACTTTATACTAATTAGTTTCTAATAATTGTAAAATATTAAGAAGTATGAGGTTAGGGTAGCCTCTAATGGCATGTTGCTCCAATAACACTTAGATTATTAAAATTTAACTATGTATTAAATAATAACACTTATTTTACATTAGCTATAAAACACAAGCAGACTTCAATCCAACACCTGAAAGGGTATCCATTGTACTGTAATCATACTACCTACATACTTTCATAAACCTTGTATCTTACCCATATCATAACTTAAAAGTAGCTAGTCATGACAAACAAAACATAAAAACATGACATCCATAAAGGTTTTCTGTCCTTCACCTTTGAACTGCATTTCCCATTCCCGAACTGAGTCCATTTCCATAGTATTCAGATCACTCAAATCATCGTACTCATCCTTTGAACTCATAACTGAAAATGTCGCCAAACCGCGTGATGCGTCATGTCCACCAAATGCTGAGTATGGGCCCCCTGAATTTTAAAAGAACAAAAATAAAATAATGCACTTGATAATTTATAAACATCTAAATATAACATGTTATGCTTCTGAACCCTAGCGACAGCATGAAAACCGAAACATCCAAATTCACAACTGGCAGAGATGTTTTCCCTTGTAAATATATTAAAAAAAATTAATATCAGAATAAATTAAATCAAAATCAGAGTACACTATCTGTTAAATGTTTTCTCCACTTTATAATACCTGGACCATAATATCGTTTCCCTTTCGTAACATCGAAAACATTCCCATTGACAGCAACAAGAATTCTGCCGTCCGGTCCAGTACCATCGTATTTTCTCAGTTCTTCCACAGTAAAATCCTTCCTCAACTTTGGAAGTGCCGGTTCTGCTGGCACAGGCTCAGGCACCTTCTGTCGACTCTTCACAATCTTATATACCAATAATGTAATTACGCCGACAAGTGCAATATTAACAGGACTTCTGATTATTTCCAAAATTAAGTTTGAAAACAAACCACTACTTTCAGACGGCAAACCACTATCAGCCATCTTGATAACTTTTACGTCGTCATGCTCTCAGACCTGTGGAACTCTGGGTAGATAAATTATAGATGGCGCTGAAACCAATAAAAAAAATATGGTCTAAATATAAATGACCATGAGAAATGCGGAGGACTTTCGATTAACATAGATTTTGAGGTTATCGTTCCCACCCAAAACCTTTTAGCAATGAATGCATTGAAAATTGTTATTTCAACTAGTTTTGTTCCTAGTAACGAATAGGCATTACTTTTCTAGACACTCTGCTTACTTTCATGCCCCATGTCCCTTTGCTCATTGCTATGAATCATAAAACTTGTTATTGACTATCCTGTGATGCATAATTATAGTCTTCTGTTAAATTCAGTGTAATTAAATAATTAACAACATTTGTAGGTTATTTCTGACTTATTCTATCCCTTTGAATTTTTAAATTTTTTATAGGTAATGGATAGCTGGCCCATTGACTCAACATCCATTAGGAACCAGACCATTCTGCATTCGGTTTCCAGATCACAGGATCCATGAAGTCCTTAACAAATATTGCACCCCATTAAGTAATCCCCTAATTCCCAGCTTCCGAATACTATTGACTTGTTCCATACTTTTGTATCCTAGCAATCATAGTGTATGTGCTTGAATCTGAGCAACTAGCATAGAAAAGTGCCAACATGCAAAAGTATTATAGGTGTTTCATAAGCAGGATAAATTGTTCCCCTTTCACCTTTATGCACATGGGTCTTATACTGATTTTACGTCTGTTGCTGCAAAAACCCACGACTGTACATTACTGTTATTATAAATGGTATGGTACATTTTTTGCTTCACTATAAACTGTTGCTGTTTGTTAAGGGATGTAAAAGTAATTTCATTACAAAATACCATACACATCTTTTAGGACCTTTATCACTGGTTTGTCTCATGAGCTGTAGTTATTCTACTTATAAGTTGAGATTAATTTCTTAATTTGTTACTGCTTTCACATTTAATTCTGTAAAATAGATTTCTTATTAATTATCTCTTCAACCAAACTAGATTTTAGGAACAAGCCGATGAAAGTAATATCTAACACAATTGTGATTTATTAATTAAGTTTAGGCCTACATGGTAATATTATTTGTTTCTAATTTTACACACTGACAACAAGAATCCTTCAGAAGATTTCTGTCTTCTGGGTTGTTGCGCTGTTTAGACTGGTTGATGTTAACCAACATTTCAGATGTCATACTGCCTCCGTCATCAGGGCGATGAATGCCCTGATGACGGAGGCAGTATGACCTCCGAAACGTTGGTAAAAATCGACCACCTTCAATCTTCAATTTCAATTTATATTTTCAAAAAAATTGCCTATTGTGGAAATAAAGATACAATTCCATTGTCATCAAGTAAAATGCAGAATTTCTGCTAATTTAACTATGTACTTTATAAGACATAACTCCTTAATACAAAAATCCACCACTATAGCTTACAGAAGTCTACATAGTGCTGGAAACTTTGTTACACAGTGTACAAACTACTAGGAAACCAAAGTGCTACATTTACTTAAATCTAAAATCTATCTATTTTTTCAATCATTTTAGTCATAAAATTTAAGTCATCTTTGAATTTCTATAATTATCTACCTTATTCAAGAGAAAATATGGTTGTGTTACAGAAACAGTTTTGTACTAAGTAAAAACCGTACTAACTAAAAGCTACCTGGTGTTATTCTTCATCATAAAAAGATTCTATATCATGATTCAGTTACAAAAGATTTGTGATTAAGAGAAGGTGTTTTAAATTACTTTAAAAGGAATAGAAATGAATATGGAAAGATAGAAACTGTACAATATTTTACACATTTATTCAATTTTAAAATGCAGTTTTACAATACAGCGGATATTAATCTTAACTGTTAGAAAGCACTACTACATAAGATGCATCATAAAATGGAATAAAAAGTGTAGATCTGTGTGTTATTAACATAGATGTGAACATGGTGATAGATATACAAATTACTTATGTATAAAGTGAAAATATCACGGCGACTGAAGTTGATGAAAGACTCTCAGGTTACGAGCCACATCAGGTGGCTGAATGGTAAATAAACCATATCTTCTCCCAGTTTCGAGAGTAATCTCTGCTCTCATCGTCAGGGCTGCTGCATAATAAATCTGGTCCTTTGTAGCGTGCTTGCGATGGGAACTGTTCTTAACCGAAGAGTCTTTCATAATTCAAATTACTTGTTTACTAATGTAATAATTTTAGGTGGTACTTAAAGTTTACATCAAAGCTACATCTAACCCATAAAAATAGTTAGGAAAAATGAGTTATAAATACAGATGTAATTCATGATGTACTTGGACAACAGATTGCATATAACAAAACCTGATTAATTAATCACAAATTTTGTGGAATATGTAATGAAAGAATTTTTACATGCTTAGTGTGGATTAATGTAGTCACAGATTGCATTGTTCTCTTCAACAGAATTATATTTTCATATCAATTTTTTGTGCTTCTATGGTTCTTCACTAATATCATGTCACTTTGAAGAAGAATGTTGCAAATTTTTCTTACAAGGTTAATAACCTAAAGAGGAGAGAAAAGCTTGTGAGACTTGGGCATAGATAGAATAATTAAAAATAGATCTCAGATAAGTAGGATGAGAAAGAATGGACTGGACTTAACTTGCTCAAAATAGGGTCCATGGTGAATTTTTCTGTAACCATGATAACAAATATTTGGGTTTCTTAAAAGGTGAGAATTTCTTGATCAGGTAGAAAAATTAATAATCTTCAGTAATGACAACAGACATAAAGTACATCTGTATTTGTATTTGTTGGTTTTTTTATTAAAATTAAAGCCTTTTTGAAGAGCATTACAGCATAACAGAGTTCACAGTAATAATGGATATGCAATTGTGTTTTAATTGTAATATTCTTCTGTCTATATATAACAACTTCCATGCTAAATATTACATTTATAAAAGACCTACACTCAGCTTAATGGAAGGAAAACTGGTTTTCTTTCTTTAGGATCTGAACTAAATTTTGATACTACATGCTATACACATATACCAGTGGTAAAAAGAAAATCACTGTCATTTCTACATAAAAAAATTTGTAGCTTCTCAATGGTATAAGTCATATTTTAATGTAGGAATATACTAACAGAAAAAATTCAACATGGCAAGCTTTAAATATATTTTACTTTGCATTTATAATGAGTCTTCATGAAGACAGTAAATATTAGAATTTTCTCTTTTTAAAATGTTCACAACTATGATAATTCTAGAAGAATATGAAAGAGAACTGGCTACAGGATGTTATAAATACCCTGTTTTGTCAGCCACACATCAATATGAAGGATCATCACTCATTCTATTGTTTGCAACATGTTCAAACTGCAATAACAACATGAAGGTAATGGATGGACTTTTGAAAGATAATTATAAAAATACTCTCAGAATTTGAAATAATTAATGTTGCTCTATCTTTAGCAACAAGTAATAAAATTCTAGAGATTGCTATAAAATGATAATGAGAGAATGATACAATATGGTATCTTACTTTTGAATATATGTTTATCAAGATAAACCAATTTAATGCCTGCTATGTGCAGTGTATGAAATGTAGACATTATAGTAACAATAATAAATTTTTATGTTTTAATATCTGAATAAATGTTTGTTATATGAGGATGATAATCCAGTGGCAGACATTTTATTCCTGACTTTACCATGAACAAAATAAGTGTCAAAAAAGTTTGAGCAAATGTTCTCATTGAATGGTTTAAAACACCATTTATCTTACACCCATCATTGTAAATCTAACACATGATATTATATCAAAAAATGTTTGCCTAGTATAAGTAAAACAGATCTGTCCCAATTTCTTTGGATCTCTGACCTATTATTGCTTAAGTACATTCAAACATGTTGCTGTGTAAGAAACATTCAAAAAGTTCCTGGGCCATCACTACTAAGTCTCCATCTTCAAGCATCAATGAAATTCATGTATGTATTCTAAATAGAAATATTCATGCTGAGAAGCCAATAATAATATAAACAGTTACATAAATGTCATGGAAGGATTTTATACTATCACATAAGGAACTTTTTGAACTCTTACACAATTTGAGTTATTAATTAATTCATTTACAGCACATTTACATTTATAAACAATTTTTTTCAGAATTAATTCTTCTTTTATTAAAAGTTCCAATTCACAATTCTGTTTATGAAAACAAATTCGGAGATTTCCTAGTTATGAAATTTTTTCAAAGCTACAAAGGACTAGCAGCTTTATCCATATGGGAGCACTGGTAAAATATGGTTTATTTTATAACCTATTCCAGCATTTGCAGTCTAGGATATATAAGCCCTACAATATTGCACACATTCAAGACATTACATATTCTGTTTTATATCTTTGTTAAGACATATTTTCCATACTGAACAGACCTTTAAATTAAAGGAATGCAGTGTGAACAGTTACACTAACTATTAATACAAATATGTAACTTTTACACATTGCATCAATGCGATGAGTTCCAGTTAAATATTTACAATATAGTAATGGCCACATTTTTTTAATTGTGAAAAATTAATCATCAGAATATTTATTTTGTCACAACAAAGGAATGGCTACGTGTGATGTGTGGAATTGCACTTTCAACCAGCATTAGATGATAGCTGTGATGAGCCTGGCTTTAAAGTTGACTATCCTTTCACTGGTCTGAGCCAGGCGCTGAAATACAAAGAACATTTGTCTAATTGTTTAATAGTTTTCTTACCTGGAATGCAGTATAATTTAACTCTGTGTAATCCTGTCTGAAAAGAATGCAGTACAAATATTTTAACTTCGCCAGGAGACACAAAGATTATGACCTTAACATCTTCAAAGTCAAAAGTCATTTATGATTTTAGTAATTATTTGTAGATCTCTGGCAATTATTAATTCATTACATTGCAGTTGTGTTTGGATACTGTCTATTGTCTCAGATATATTTAATGTGCATGATGTTTCTGTTCTTGGTTCTACTCCCGTCTTAAGGTGAGTTGTGATTATACTGACAATTTTTTATTGTTAGTATGTTTCTTGTCAAAGTCAATGAAAAGTTGGGACCCGCAGTGCTCAGGCACTTCAAGAACAGGTCGTCAAAGTATCGAAGTAAGTTTCACCAGTAATAGATGAAAATGAGAATAGAGCCAACTCCCAAAATTCATTGCATACTACACACTGAATACTATCTAACTCAGTATACATTTCACTTGACAGTATGGCTATGACCTTAAAATGATTAAATAGCATATAAATACTCTATATTAAAGAATGTTTAAAATTCTGTTACAGAGTTTTGAAAACAAAACTCTTTAATCATTTGAAAGTTTTTGTGTCCTTTATACTATATTGCCCTGCTCAGGAGGATGAGATTCAGCTGTTTTACCATAAACATCCTTAAGAGTAATAACCAATTTGAAATTTCACATAAATTCATTATTGACACTTAATCTCCTTTTGGGTGCTGGCACCACAGAAGTTTACTTGTTGCTGATGTTTCAATGGACTGTACTGCCTGTATCATCAGGGCTGAAATGAGGAGGGTTGGGAAACAGCTGGTTTATATCAGAATAAGGTCACAGGAATTGGCCAGTCAGAACCAGGATGACAATTAGAGAGTGGAGCTGCATCTGGGCCAATGGGAAAGAGCCCTTTCTATGGGTTAAGGAAGGCTGAGACAGGAGATGTCACCCTCTGTGGACTAACAGTTAGGATGCTTTTCACTGGACCCAAGGTTTGCAGGTTCAAACCTGGCCGAGGTTGATAGATTTTTAAGGGTGATAAAAATCAGTAGCACAACTTGCTTTGGAGAAGAAGTAAAGCCGGCAGTCCCATGTCGATTTACGTCATGTAAAAGAACCTTACTATCAGGAACGAGATGTTTTGTAAGAAAAATTCAGCAGCCATTTCTCACCCAAGTCTCTCCTGATTCACTACTAGATGGCTTGAGTAGAAATTTTGCAGAGGCAGTGGGCTTGTCACTCACTACTCATAAATGCACACTTCAAAAACAAAGAAACCTTCCACATGGGAGAAGGCCAAGGCTCAGCTTCAAGCTGTTGCGTCATAGAGCCAGTCAGTCAGAGAGAAGAGAGAAAAACAGTACATACTAGCCCTTTTAGGGAACCAACAGGAAGGTATGGACAATTGGTATGGTATGTGTTGAGACTCACGTGGTTGGGGATTTGTAAAGATGAGAAGGAAGGACAGACAAGTTATGTAGTTTAAGCAGCTGTCAGATGTAAAGGTTGAGTTCTCAGCACTCACCAAGATTAGGTCCTGCACCAAATTAGCAATGCCTCTGTTGGCAATAATGAACAACCTGGTGATAGGACCTGGGATTCCTGCCTGGTAACCATCATCCTTCTCTACTTGTCCTCCTCCACCTGCTGACACTTCAGCTGGCTTGCCATCATTACTTGAGTCAGTGTTGCCGCTTCCAGCTACCAACTGCATCACAACAAGGAAATGTATAAAATGTACATAAACCCAGAGTTTTTTATACAGTGAGATTTTTTCCAAGCACCCCAGAACAGCTACCATAAATATTTATGCCTGAAAACTTTTTATGGAGGTGCCTAGAATGCGTGCTGTAGTTAGGGCAACTTTAATTTAATGCATTTAGGCTGAAAGTTTGCTGGTTCAGACAGCAGTCTGAATCTCTATGGTCCATGTGATGGGGTACCTTAAAGGTTCAAGAATTAACAAGGATGCTAAAAAATAATCTCACTGTACCTACTTGAGACACACAACATAGTTCTGGTTATGGATGTATCTCACACTCATTACAGAATTCCGTCATTAATAAATCTAGTTATGAACTGTAGCTTCAGTTTTATCCTCCTTGGTAGGGATAATCTTATTTGCATAAAGTGCATAAAACGTGTGCATGATGGGTAAGTTGTGTGTCTAACTGTCAGCACATTTGGAATGGAGATTTAGATTGAATTTAGTATTAGGAGGATATACACCAAATGCCTTCAGATGAATATGGTTTTGGACAAACCTGAAGCTTAATTCACACAAAGCTAAAAACAAACTTTATAATTTTTCTCAAAAATGGTTGATTATGTGAGAAATTGGTAGGTGATATGAAATATAGAGCTCATTAACATCTACATCTCTTATTTAAAAGATTTTTTTAGACAATATATATTTAATGAAATGCAATGAAAAATGTATCCATCCCTCACTACTACACAGTAATTTCTAAATCTTACATAACTTGCACACATCTTTCTTGTGTTTTGTGAAGAAAGTACCTAAACTTTGATATGTATAATATGCTAAAAATTAAGTTTCTATTCTGAAGTACTGAAGAGAGAAATCAGGTATCCTCAAGTATCTAATATTCATCAAGTTACAGTATTTCCTTTTCTCAGCCAGACTCAATTATGACATACAGACACTCTTTAGCTTACCAGGTCTCCATAAATGTCATTTAGTTAAAATAAATTAGCAAAGACAAGATGCTTACAAAATATAACTTGCAGAAATAACAATAAATTTGTTTCCTGAATGTTTTGGTGATCACAACATAAATGTTTGTTGTATTAAATTTTGCATTAAAGCCTGGAAGAGAAAGAGTTTCATGGATCATGGATACAGAATCCTTCAAAATAATACAAGTAATTTTATTTGCTTGTAAATACAATTTATTTCCTAATTTTTTGAATGTGTCATGTGTAATAAATCAGGTACCTTATCTTGATATGCCCTTTTAGCTGCTAATGTTTTAAACAATTTGTTTTTAGTTACACCTTCTCTCCCCTCAAATGCCTGAATGGCATGTAGTGGGACAGCTTTACTTTATTAAAATATGTTATAAAAACATCTCTGCAAAATAAGGAATGAACTGGTCATTGAGACTCTACTATTTCATATCTCACTCAGGCATGTTAAGGAAATATTCTCATGCATGTACTACAGTGAATTAAATATACTATTTCTACAGTTACAAATGACTGTTCTTTTGTGCATACTGTTGCACTTTCAGTGTTTATTTTCACTGTAATAAACAAGGTTAAAAACTTCCAAAATTAAGTATGCTGGGCCAGTACTTCTACTAATTCTATCTACAAACTCCAAATTTTCATTATGATAGCTAGCACCATGCAGTTTGGTAGATACTGACTGGTGTTATAGACAAGTCAGAGCCATGGCTGAACCAAGGGTAGAAGGGAGAACCTGAGTGAGGAGAACCAATGGGAGGAAAGGGAGACCTCAGTAAGACTGTATGGAAGAATTAAAGACAATCTCATCTGGAACAGTCAATATCTACCAGACTCTATAGTGTTGCATTCCTGAATACAGCTATCATCATACATGTTGCTGCTAAAACCTCAGATCTCCAATTTATATGTTATTAATTTGGAAGTTAGTATTTTCCTTGGTACAGTTATATGAAAGACTATAAATGAAACATTTGAACGCTGAATACAATAGTAGTCAAACCAGTGGATGGTTATCAGACTTTACTAAGATTCATAGCTGTAACTCAGTTCCTTTTTAAAATTTAATTCCATGCAAGAACTATTACACTACAGACAAATGTTATCAGACACAAGTTGTGTCATCCATCCTGCATCTTTAAATACAGAAATTATTACATCTACATTGCCTTTGTGTACTTCTCATTGCTCTTACAATTTACACTTCATTACATAAAACACTACTTGTCAATTGATACAGGATATAAAGTGCCTTGGTTATTTTCCGTGCTAGTTTTGTTTCAGTTCAGCAATCAGATGAGATTATTACAACAATCAATGTAATTAGTATAGTGCATGGAACACTCAGTGAGCATCGCCTCCATTCTTTCTGTATGAATTGGATTGTTTGTAACTCTATCAACAGGTATTGATATCAGCTTATTTAAGACTGACATGGTTTATCACCTGAAAATACTTCACTTTAAATAAATGTTTCCTTACCTGTTTACTGAACAGCTCTGTCTCAGTATAACCTGGGTTATTGTTCTTAATAATTTATAGTTTAATAAGTGTAAAAAATGTATTTCACTATTTTGTCACTACATGGTGGTAATATAACAACAAAGTTCTTCTATGAACCGGTTACGCATGCAACTGCTAATCAGATGTTATAAGAAATGTGTTTAAAAGCAGTTTAAAAATAATGTAAACTATAGGAAATAGTAATTTTTAGATGATGACTGTCTTTTGCGATATTGTTCTGTGCAGTCTCATAGATGTTTATTGACATTTCAGAGATGCTTGCTGCCTCTATCATTACGGTTATGTGTTACATACTAGTGCAATAGTATGTTTTAGGAAATTCAAACCCTTTTCCTAACCATCTGTATCAATTGACAATGTAATACAAAGATATATTTTTTTTTCTGCCACCCATATGTAATAGCTTTGAAGCAGTTCAAATCATCATACAATGCTTATAAAATGGAGATAAAGATATAAAAATTTATTATAATAAACCATTACCAATGACTTCCAAAGCAAACACATACCTTTCTTTCTGCATACTCAGGCATATTCTAGAGATTAGATACAAAACAAGCAAAACATTTATGACAAGTTTTCTTTAGGCCTTGTGTATTTGTTGAGCTAGAACATGAGATGTAAAAAGAAATTTTAAACATAGTTATACATTTCTGGACAGTGACAATTTATTGTCATTATAGTTTTCAGTATTACCAATGAAAGCCTTGTCTTTGTATCCATATATCTGCTCTGACTGCTGCTGCTGAAGCCTCTGCTTAAGCCTACACTGGGTTTGTTTATTGTTTAAATAATCTCAGTCTTAGGAGTGAAAATTTTCATGACATTAAACTTTTGAGTGGTAAGATATGAGAACTAAATCATATTCCATGTAATCTTGTAATGCTAATAGTAATAACTTCCACATCAGTAACTAGATTTTCTAATTGCACAAATACCTATTTTGCTTAAAGGGACCTCACATACACCTAGGAGTTACAGAATCTGTGTAAGTGTTAACATTTAAATTTATAGGACAGGATTCTTCTACTAAAAACATTGCATAAGATTTGTTGGGGGGGGGGAGGTGGGAGATAAAGACAGACCTAACCACAAACTCACTGTAGACCTCTCTGAAAAACCACAGTGATGGAATACAGTGTTATATTACTATGCTTTCAATATAAGATTTTATATATGCAAAGAAACAGTAGTTCCATTAAAAATGTCAGTAAAATGCAATAATAAAACTTCTAAATATAAAGAATAATCACTTCATAGTCCAGTTAAAACCTACACATTCTTGAATTTCCTGAAGAAATGAGTAATTTATCACAAAATAAGCAGCTTTATAGTGCAAAATGGCAGTACATTGTAAATGTTTTAATATTCTACTAAATTATATCTTAATAAAAATATTTGATATAGACTTTTATCGCACATATACATTTATATCTTTCTAAGATTTATAAAAAGAATAACTGTTGCCTTGCTTAATATTTAAAATGATAAATCTGTAATGAAGCTGTTTGTTTTATAATTCAGACATATCTACAAACAGAATAAATATTTATTTGTTAGATAATGTTCTACTAGCATTAAATAAAAAAAATTATATTATTTCAAGGTGACAACAAGCAAGACTCATCAGTATTTAAAGTTATTGAAAGTTAAACAACTACCATATCTAATTTAAGTGTTTAATTGAAATTTTTTTACACCACAGAGATTTGCATTCAAAATTCCTGGAGTTAATACTTGTATGTGAATATGACATTCTAACATTAATGTATTATAGTAGAACATATTTTATTATTTATGAGGGAAAAATTTATGAAATGTACATAGTTAAGTCACCATAAATCATTTCAGTCTCATACGTAAGTTGGTTTCCTGAATCAGAAAATCTGAATGGCAACAGTATGTTCAATATGAATCAGCTCAGAGCAATGAGTTTGATTGCAATGTGTACTTTTATACCACATATACATTACTAAGATTGATCATGGTGTCAATCAGTTGTCCTAACTGAGATAATTTATTGTGTATCTACATTATAAGATGAGCAAATATAGCTAAGGCGATTGGCTATGGGTTGAATAACCAGAGTTCAGTTTCTGGTAAGTGCAGGGCCTTTCTCTTCACCACTTCATATGGAACAGCTCTTGAGCCTACTAAGCTTCCTAACCAGTGAAAGAGTAACAACGGCTATTTCCTTGGGGAGGAAAGACCATGCACTCCAAACTTCAGCACTAATAGAAAGTTAGTGGTAATCTTCATACTCCACTTGCTTTAACCCTGGAGAGAAAGCTGGCTGTACTCATTAGAGAGAAGATCTGACGAGCCTCAGGGCCAGTTTGAATACAGAGAAAAAATTCCTGCTTTTCTTGAAAACTGAACCCCAAATATTCAGCTTCTAGCCAATCACTTTACTGACTAAGATCATCTAGCTAATGAATGAGCAATGTACTGGTATATTTTTGGGTTATCATTAAGAGGACAAGAAACTATATAAAAATTAATGTTGCTCTTAAATAATTTTAAAAGTAATTATCTGAAAGCTTCTGTACATATCATCTCACAAATTAATTGCAGTATTTAGAGTGGTTTAGTTTCTGTTAGCTTTCTTTAATGCTTATACAACATACAAGCATTTTGACTTACTTTTGCTTGCTAAAATCAAATTTAGAAAGAGTATACAGTCATATGTTACAGTTCAGAGTATATAAGCGTGGAGTACCTCAGTCCGTACATCTCATTTTAAACTACTGTAGTGTTCAAAACATACCAAACAGATAAAAGAACCACTTCAACAAGTAATAAATATGTTACAGCTGCTTTAGAAGTAATTTAAAGTATGTGGTAAAATATGCTTTAAAGGTCCACAGACATACAAGTTAAGATTTGTAATGAACATGTTATTCATACATATAACTCTAGTCAAAATGAGAATACAAGTTTTTTCAAACATACTTTCTAACAATTTGAGCATGACTGCAATCCTCAGAACTCGAATTTTAAGACAAACTGGAACTTGAGAACAAGATGACCAATTTGCATTTATAAAAAAGAAAAGTGTCACAAGTAGAGAATACTTATCAGTCATATCACATGGCAGAAATATTTCAACATATCAACAGTATCTTATATATTTGTGTCTTCTCTTGGCCTATGTCACAGAAGTGTATGTCTGAAAGATGTCGGGGAAAATCTTATTGAGAGTCATAGATTTAGAGATTTGTTAGATTTAGGAACAGATAAATCAAAGCAGCTGTATTTTATCAAGGAAATGCAATGCAATACAATCAAATTTATTCAGAAACTGTAATATAATGTATTTTGTGAAATGCTGACTATCGAATTCCAATGCATTGCTTTCAAAATAAAAACAGCTTTTGAATAAATGAAAAATTAAGTTCAAGAAAGAAATGAAAGCAGACAGTTAACAGTTTATAGTGCATTGTATTGAAGGCATGAGAAATATTTTATTTTATTAAAACTATAGAGCATGCAGACACTTAAATTTTCAGTAAATAGTGATACAGGCAACTGATTACCTATACAGTATTAATGTTCTGGGATTATATAATGATCAGTTATGTATTTATGGGATTTTTATGAATTAAGCATTATAATAGAAATTAGTATGTCAAATTACAGACCATCATGCAATTTCTACCATTACATCATGCATAAAAATTCAAATTCCTTCTTCCATCAGCCTTTCTCAGGCTGTCAAGCTCCTATGTTACTGTTTCCAATGCAAAGTTAAATTAATAAGTATTCCAACAAAGCAACAGAAACAGATAAGTATTTCTGCATTTAATGTTTCTAAATGTTATGGGATTTATTATTACAGTCAATGAGGTTTCCTGAAGTATATTTACATCTACAGAGAGGATTTTGGTTGATATAACCTGAAATCACTCTGTAATCAGAAACTTAACCAGGATGGAAGTGTAATCTGGGCAATTGTACACCTAGATGATGGGATAACTGCTACTGGCAGCCATTACAGAAGTCTATAAAATTTTGACTATGGTAATTTAGGGACTAGAAATATGAAGTAATTAACAAGTTAAACAGGGTTTTCAAATTTCTTACATCTGTGAGGAAGTGTTTTAGTCTCTCTAATGCATATCCTGTAAACTATTATATATAAAACTACATCTCTCTCTTATCTGGCTGTAAATCACATTCAGATGATAATGGACAGAAAGGGCTAACAAGAAATTATTATACTGTAAAAAACAGGCAAACTAACTCCATGGAGCAAAGTCCTTCTTGAGAAGCTACTATTACACTCATCTAGTTAATAAGTTATCCACATTTCATGAATCCTGAAGGTTTATTACTGTGTCCAAAAGAGCCCACTCTACCCTGAGCCAGATGAATCCAGTCCATACACCCAAACCTGATTTTACTATGATCAATTTTAATTATTATCCTCCCATCTATGTCAAAGTCTTCAGAGTGGTCTCCTTCTTCAGGCTGTCCAACTAAAATTTTGTACATATGCCTTGAGGTCTCCTGGAGCGGATATTCAAAGGAAGAACAAATTCACAACTAAAAACATTAATGCTAGTAACAGCTGTCATACAACTAAATAAGTGCCATCAAAATAGAAATCAAACCTGCTGCAGAAGGATATATGAGCTGATAAAGTGTTTATCTCCAAATGAATTATTTGCTTCTTCAGATGAAGTGTCAAGCATTTGAAGTTAGACTTAATAAGAAAATGATAATGTTAAGGGTAATAATGGATCATGAATTGGTGTTGATGATCTATATCTTACCCAGAAGAACTTGGGATAACCATAAAATAGTACAGAAGATAAATTATCATTACAGACAAGTTCAAAATAGAAGTAGAAACCATTGTTTTGTTATTTGCTGAAATTAAAGATGAAGAAAGAAGCAAATATGAAAACAGATAAAATTAAAAGCTCTGTATGGAGACAGATGGGAAGATGTGGAACATTTTCTGCTTTCACATAATGTCTTTATGTGCACCATGAATATTCTTTTTTAGGCACTATAGAGATTTCCACTTTATTGGAATTCTGCTTGTTTTCATTTTAATGAGATAATGTTTGAGTTATTTAGTATGTTTATAGCGTGTTAAATTCGGCTCAGAGAATGTGTATAGAAAATTAATTGCTTCTTATAAGTTAGACAGACTGAATATTCAATATATTCTGAATACAAACCAAACAATATGTAATTAGCTATTCTAAGATCTCATGCATTTACTATAATTTTGATTTATTTATACCAATTTCAATTGGGAGTTTTGTAATAAATACCTTTAATCCTTTATGCCATAAATTAAGGAACTACTGTTTTCATTTTCAAAGCTGGAAATAGGTCAAAATAAATCTCATTGTTATATAACAGTATATAAATATTATCAGGCTACACAGAAGCAGTGCATGTTATGAGTGGTGAATCTAAGTACTATTAAAATATAAAGGTAGATAATGAGTAAAATAGGAATATCTGTATGACTGTCCTTATCTGACTTCATATTCTTGCTAAAGAGAAATGCTTAATGTTTATTTGTTTTATTGTTAAATAAAATACATTTTCATTGGTTAGGTACTGAACTTGCTAGTACATCCTATACATCCAAATTGTGTGTTTGTATATTAAAATACTTTCATTAATAATTTGCATGAATGACACTTATTTTCCTTCTTATTTGTTCCATTTGTTATTTGCCATATATATCTTGATCAAAATGTACACTTTTATAGAATTTTCATTGTACAATCTTAGATACGTATATATGATGATGCATTAAGAGACAGCCAGTCTGAGAGAGATGATTAATCTAGTAGCTACATGTACAAGTGGAAACACAGGATATGCAAGTTAAGGTTAATTTAAGAAAATAGCTATGGAGCAGAAGTCAGATCATGCACCTTCCCTCAAGCAAGCATGTTACAATTCTGGAAGAAATGGGTATGCAACAATCTATATTTGGGATTATGTTCAGAATAATAGAATAATAATTCACAGCCAGCTTGTCTGTCTCATATAAAAAGATCTGTACTCATTATTTCTAACCATATGTCTGTCTTCTGGGATGTTGCACTGTGTAGTCTGGTAGACCAATGTCTTAGAGGTGTTTACTATGTCCATCATCAAGGCAATGAGTAAATCATGCATGGAGAAATTGGGTTAGGTATAGGAGCAGTTTTAACAAGCCAGAAGCTTAGTCAGGCCAATTAATGAGGGGGAGAACAGGAAGAGGAGGAGGATTGGAGTTAAGACAGAGCAATGGAGCTAGTGGGAGAAGGGAAAGAAAGGGGACCAGCCTGGCCAAAGTGGGGAGAGAGCTAAAAATATGGAAGAAGACAGAAATACAATATGTGGAATGAGGATACAAAATAAATAAACCTTCTACAACAATTGACTGTCCCTGGAATAAATTAATTTGGAGGTCTGTGAGATATGTAAAATATCTACAAACAAATTTGGAAGAAAAAAAATCACAAATTTGATTATAGCTTTCCATGCCTTTTAATTAATTTTCAAAAGCATTTGCTTGGAGTCTTAAGAATTTAATTTACATGATAAGTGACTGAAGTGGAAATCAAAAGTGTGGAAGAAGGTATCTTTTCCCTTTGCTTTAATACTGGCTGAAGATTATTTGTTAATTTGAGTCAGTATATATGAAAGTAAGGTGGAAGACCCCTGAATGTGGAAATAAATGCACATTGCTAAGCCTTGTGTACAGGTTCAGAAGATACTTTACCAGTTAAATTGCTGAAGGTAATAAAAGGCAGTACAGAGTTAATTTCACTGCTCCCAGGATGCATGCACAGAAGCAGAGTAAAGTTACAAGTTATAGACTAGCAGTTGGGCTGAGGCCTGTGAGTGTGGTTATTACCGCACGGGTTGTCCCATTGCCTTTGTTGGTAGTCATTGTAGTAGTCTGATTGGTTGATGTCCTGGTTGTCGATTTTCTTGTAGATACACCTAGGCCAAGCCCTAGATCCAGGCTTTCTGTGCCCGCCACAACTCGGTATACTGTGCCTGCTGTACGAGCCACCCTGTTTGCTGTTTGCTAAGCGAGTCACAATCATCAGAATAATCAGTGTCTGCAGTGTCCTTCATTGCTACACCCAAATGGGAAGTCGAAATAAATATGCAGATCGTCATATCCAAGTGAGGAACTCATAACTTAAAATGCTAGATATAACCAGTATTTAGTACAAGATTAATTATTTCATCAATATTAAACCATCTACTGATGAATAATGCAATTCTCATAGAAGCATAATCAAACTTTGGAGGAAGAATTTACACACATAAATGTAGGAAAAAATATGTTTCAAAAGTCTATAGCTGGCTGTTCAAAAGATCTGTGATCTTTTCTTGTGGACAAGGAGAGTAACAGTAATATATATGGCATTACCTTTGTACCTTCATGTATGTTCTTATGACACAGGATATCTATGTAATTCTGTGCTGTGTTCATTACCCACAACAAATAGCATACTATCTGACTCTGTGTACATGAAATATTTGTGCAAGTTTAATTCAGAGAAGTTCACATACATTTTCAAGTGTACTGTATTATTTAATAAATTAACTGTTTTACCTTTCTTCCAGTGATGTTTCAGTCATCAGAGTAGCAAAAGATCACTTGAACAGTCAGACTTTCCACAGCTGTCAAACTATATCAAAGGGATAAATGTAAAAACTGTTTCCAGACTCCAATTTATGTAGTGAAGATCTTGCAGAACTTTTTACAGATCCATTGGTTAGACTTGTTAAGTGATATTTATAAAAATATCAGTGTTAAGACATGCTGAGAAATCACTGTGAAGACCAATAAATTATAAGGCCACACCTAAGTGTAAGTTAGTTTTTCTTAATCAGATACTCACCCTAATAATGTCAAAAAGGAAGTTTCCTGAGCCACCACCAGAACCACTGTCACTACTGCTACTGCTGCTGCTGCTTGAGTCAGCACCAAAGCCAAAATTCAGAAACCTCTTGTTGCGTTGATCTTCCTCTGTTCCTTCATCTGCTACATCTGCAGGATTGCCATTTCCTAGGACAGGAGTAAACACTTGATCATTTAACAATGCTTTTGTAACTGCATTGGTTATTCAATATCTAACAGTAGCATAATGCTGAATTCTGAACCTTAAAATATTATTCCATTGTCTGCCTGAAGGTACTAAGGAAAACAAGGATGATGGAAAAAGTCCAGATAGTGAATAATTTTAAGTGTAATCCACCATTGTCAGAACCCTTCTCTAATTATTTTGTAAAATTTCCTACTCTAGAGATTTGCTTTGTAATTCAATCTTCGATTTTTTCATTTGATGAAACATTGTCATTCAAACAGGAACAAGTTTTTAGCATTCTTTAAAAAGTAATTATTACACTTAATATCTTGCACATCTGTTTTAATATGACTACACTTTCATACTAATTGCTTTATAAATGTCAGTTTTCTAAATCTGTACACAAAGCAGAGTATGCATCTTTATTTTAGATTGCGGTCTTATGTGTTGTTATGCTATTCAGAATCATTTTTGAATACCAGCATTTTGAAGAAACAGGCTGCCTCCAAAGTGCTGGTCTATAACGAGGGGACTTCAAGGAGTAACAACCCAGAGGATCACAATCTAAAGTTATAGAATAATAAACACCTTAAATACTATAATTACCTCCACTTGCTGCGTCCTCTTGGTCATTGTAGACCTGCTCTGCTGGTTGCATTGGATCTGCATATTGCACTCGGACTTCATTCAGCTGTGACTCAGCTCCTGTGACCTGGTTTTCTGTCTCAGGATTCACTTCTGACTATTTGACGCAGAACATGCAAAAATTCATATTAGTCACTGAACACATATGAACAAACAGAAAAATATTATTTGAAAATATTACAAATTTTTTTAAAAAAAATGCAAACAAATGAGATATGAAGTTTTCATGGGAGTTAGTATTCAGATTGGTGTCTTCTGGATGTAGACTTGTAGCTGTTTGTCACTGTTTCAGGTAAACATACTGCCTGATGATAAAGTCAGTATATTACTCTAAAACAACTGTAACCATATACAAGACTATGTGGTATCAATCCAGAAGACCACAGTTTGGAAATATATTAAGGCAACTGTTTCAATATTGTTGGAATACTCACCATGTATATTAAATTACTTAATATATGGAAATATAAACCAGACATATTTTAATATACTACTTCATAAACTTAAATACAAATACAAAATGTTGTGACGTAATGGATGGCAGGTTCAGATCTTTGTTCAGTGATCAGCTGCCCCAACAGAAATTTTGTATGTTTCTTCAGGTCCTTCAGCCAAATGTCTGAGTAGTTTCTTAAAACTGGTCATAAATGTCTCACCCCATGTTTTTTCCAATTATTCATTAGTGTCCTTTTATAGGCAATTATAAAAACCAAGATGCAAACATGATCACCAGTTTATCACTGGATTACAGGACATACATGATACATATTTATCTGTAAATCATCATAAGTAATGCTTGACAAATAACAAAACTCAGCATTAACATGATACATTATATAAACATGTTTTACAACTGGTAGCAACTCATTTTTCATAATAATTATCAATACAGTTATGATTAACATGTTTCTTTTAATTTTGCCATATGTGTCATCATGAAACTACAATTTACGATTTCTTTTATAGTAGCAAGAAAAGGTAACTTGTGTACATCTACAGTGGCAGATCCAGACATTTAACACACTCAGGATAGCAATGAATAACAAATTAAAAAAAAACATGGGATGAGGAATTTCTGACCAGTCTTAAAGTACTATCCCAAGATTTACCCGAAGAACCCAAAGAAATATATACAATATTTGTCAGAGCAGGTAGCCTCAGGATAAATATTTGAATCTAGGAACGCATGAATTCAAATTATTATTCTTGTTTGGGGACACCAGCCACTTCTGCTCTGAAAACCTGGTATTTAACAGAATTGGTAAGAGACTGCTTTATGTATATTAATTTTTCCTTGAGGTTTTAATTTATATTTTAATGTGTGTATGGGTGTGTAACAATTTTGTCATTCAAGGATCCAGAATCATTAGTTACAGTTATATTTTTGAATAAGTAGTGTCCAAAAGAACAGAAGGATATATTTGCCTCTGTATCCATTTAGTGAAGTCCTCAAGTTTATGGCATTATCATATTTCTTTATTTGCTTTTACTTGGAAGTGGTCATCTGTCTCACCTTGTCTGAAAATCTATTATGATTTCTTTCATACTATACACCCTCTTAAGTTATCGAGATTTTTGTTTACCAGTTAAGTGTTGATGCAACAATTAAAAAAATAATTAGCAACTGGTGTTTCAATGACTAACATTATTTTATAACTATTTAAATAAAAGTTAATTGGAACAATACAAGGCAAGTACAAAGTTTACCTGGTTTACAAAAATCTTGATGACTTGTACTTAACTGAAGATAATAAATATTCACATGTTACTTTATGAAACTATTGCCTTATACTTAATTTTAAAATAAGGAGTCAACATTGAAGACAATATTGTCATATAAACACAAATACAGCATGTGAATAATATTAATAATAATTTTGTTTGAAATTTTTTGACATGGTGAATATTTAGGAATGTCACAAGAAGAAATTATGCAGCCATTAAATTATTAAAATATTTACACAGAAACAATTTTGTTTGTTGCATTAAATGTTACTGTAATTATTTGAATGATGTTTATTATGTGTTATGAACAAAACTTGCAAGAACTGAAAAGTAAAATTCTTAGGTTGGTTTGTTTATATTGTCAGTAGTTCAAGTTGTGACTTCCAGGCAATATTATTTATAATGGGTTGCCTAATTAAGGACTTGGGTTCATCGCTGAAATCATACTATTCTCTCTGCTGAAAAATTAAAGTTATCTTTTTAATATGTGTGTATATTATAAACCCATATATTGGCTGTACTTCTTTGTACCTGATTTCTGCATAACATTACTTCACTAGTTTTTCCCCTTCTTTTAAAAATGTTACTGACATTTATAATGCATAGTTAGGAATTTCATAATTTGTACTGTTCACCAAATATTTTGGAATTCCAGAAAGGAAGAGACCATTTGGCATTTGAAAGAACTAGGCATAGATGGGAGGATAATATTTAAATGGATCTTAGAGAAATACAGTTTGCAGGCGTGGGTTAGACTTATCTGCCTCAAGAAAGGGATCAGTGGTGGGATGTTGGGAACATGTAATGAACCTTCATGTTCAATGAGAAACAAGGGAATTATAAGAGTAGATGAGTGTACTATTAGCTCCTGAAGAAGACTTTGCTCCATGGAGTTAGTTTAGCATTCCAGGGTAAATGCAAAAGTAATTCATTCAACTGAAATACTTTATCAAATTCTATTTGCTATAACTATAGTAATTATCCAAATCATATCTAAATCTGTTAAAGCATAGTAATGTAAAGTTCATGCTTAATTCTCAAAAATGGTTGCCCATATAACAATGCAGATAATATTACAAAATCAAAAAGATTAGTCAAGACAAACAGAACACAAGGCACCCACAACTACTTTTCTCAGTCTTTAGAAACAGCATATTCAGGTCTTTAAGAAGAGAAGATTTGTTTTCATCCAACAGGTAGAGAAAGAAAAACAACAAAGCACGCATAACTGATGACTTACAATACAAACAGGAAGAGGAATTTTCCATAACTGTCACTTGTATGGAATAACATCAATGTGGAAGAAATTAATAATCAAGCAGATGAATGATGACTGAGTAACTGCTTCCCATATCTGTCAATCATATGGGATGAAATTAATGTAGGTATCTCTGTATGAGTTCAGGGCCATGATAACAATAATCCATGCTTTTCTTTCTTGCAGCGACAAAGAGATGTAAATGGTACAAGCATTAGAGATGACTTCTTACATGTCAATGCATTTCAAGTGCCTGTAGTTAATACAGGATTTGTTTATTTTTTGTGTGTAAAATGTAAATGTGGATAATAATGTATGGATGTTGACTATTATTAATGATATGGAAAATACCCAGAGTTTATTAGTTTTCAAATTTACCATTACCAAATATTTTGCATGCTGATAAGAAGAATGAATGCAGACTTATAAATTACATTAATGTAATATGTATGGTGCATGGCAAATATTCATTATTTTGGTAAGCATGTACATTAATTTCAGCATGCAACTGAAGATGCATATTTTACAAATGATTGGATGAATGGAAAGCACCAAAAAATGTAATTTCAAGGAAGCTATGGCCACACTGCACAATTCTGTGCTGTGTGAATTTGAAGACTTCTGAAAAAATAAGGTAAATTTCAGTATCATATACAATACCTTATTTTGGAGAGTGTTATAAAATTGTGTAAATAAATTAACTGGAATAACTTCTCTGTTCAGAGAACATGTTCACTGGTAATACACGTACAATGTGATCATAGCTTTAAAGTTAGTTTCTGTGCTTCAGGATTATACAAAATACTGAAGTACTGTAAATCATTATATCCTAAATGCTAGTTTATGAACGACTGAAAGGTTGCTGCCTAATTTGTGCTGGGACAAAAATTCTAATTGGTGCTACATTTATATCACCAATTCTGGAAAAATTACCATTCTGCAATCTAAAAATTATTTTTTATTTCCTTTCAGCAGTAAAACAGTGAGGGTTGGACACAATCGTCCATCTGCACAGAGGTTTCATTATATAAGTAAACTAAAATTGTCTATCAAAATTTATGCCCTCACTCACAATTTTTAATCGTTAACTGCGTTCTTTTTGATTTTAAAACTACCATACAGATATTATTATATTTTAAATACACATGTTTACATTTACTAATAACAAGAACAACAACACATATTAAAAACAAAATGTATTCCGGAAATAGCTGCTGCACTATGTACCTCAGGCGCAAGGTTTGTCTCGGGTACATAGAAGTAAATACCCTATAAAATGGTGAATTGATGGAATAATAACAAAATTTGTATGTGATTATTTTTACTGCACAATGCAAGACAAAAACTACTTTTGTTTTATCAGTCCATAAATCAGAACATTTTGGAAACCATTGATAAGTGAAGCCCTTGTTAAATGTACATAAATATGCACCACTCCAAGAAACAGAATATTATGCCTTAAGAAAAATTATGGTGTGCTATGATAACAGAGTGCACATTTTGTACTAAATTCTAATTTTATATATTTTACACTAATTACACATGAGTATGCTGACAAAAGATCAGTAACTAGTTTTGTTAATCTACAAAATACAATGAACATCACATCAGGAAGGAACTGAAAGCAATAACACTTTTTATAAATTGTAGAATGAGAGCATTGTACCATATAAGTACAGTTTTAATAATTTTTTATTAAGGCTTAATCTTTCTAGCTGAAAAACTAACCACAAAATGTTGTGCTACAATTTATTGTGACACTGACCAAATTAAATTGAACAAATTATTTTTAAAAACTCTTCATCGAAACAGGTTAAATACACTTTATGACCTTACAGTTCTCAATGGACAATTGATTCTTGGTTTATATAATATGCTTTTTCAATTTTTTTGGTTATGGAGTGATAATTGCAGATTGATTTATAAAGATGAATTGGAAAGAATGTGGAAGTAAACAGATGTGGCTTGTTATGCAGTCAACTTCAAAGTTTAATAAAACCAAAGGACCTAAAATGCAAATTCTACTTTTTTAAATAAATTCTTCAGCTAATTCCTGACTCCCCAAAAATTACACATCATCTTTATACAGTTCCACTTGAAAACCAAAGCACCAAGAGGAGATACAGAACACATAATTTACAAGGGATAAAGGATCATACAGAATGCTGGGAAACAAGATACACTGAAGCCATTTAAACCATTTCCTAACAGAGAGCTATACAATTTAAAAGTACTATATTTTAACAACACTATTTATACCTCTAACAATACCACCAAAAGATGAGTCAGAACCCACAGGGAAGGTTTCAGCTAGTCTTTGTATTTGCCTTGTTTTTCCAATTTAAATATAGAAATGCCACAGTATATTCCATGAAGCGTATACACAAAAGCCTCCCTCTTTACAAAATAATGTCAGTACCAGGACTAGGATTTTTTCAATCTAAGAGAAGGTGCTTAATTTGTAAATCTAATAATTATTTTCTACCACGTTACCAATCAGAAATCTTTTTGAACTGGAAACTGAAAAACATATGGCTAAGTTCAAAATTTGAATAAAAAAAGAGAGTTAAAAATTTAGCTTTTAAATTGACTAATTCATTAAGAAAAACCAATAAAAATTTAGGAGTAACATGCCATGATTTTTAGGTCTTAATAGGCAACCCTTTTTGAACTGCACATTATATTTTCTTTTTCAGAAAATTAGATTGTATTCACCTTTATGAAAATCAAATATCTATAATCTAAATATATGTTATCTTCAACAAATTGAAATTCTAAACAGAGTTAATGTAAATTAATAATTTCTGACCGAATAAAAAATAAAATTAAACACAAATATCATTAAGCATCTCACTTCCCATGCTTTGCCCTTGTCCTGACTCTGAGTAAGATAGATTCTAAATATTTCAGCCATTTACAAAAAGGCACTAAATAAGAGGAACTACACTAACATGCATCTACCTTAATGACCATCTTAATATTATAAGGATATTAATAATGTTTGTATGTGTGAGTTGTTCATTAAAATAGTCCATTTGTGGCTTGGTAGACTCTGAAATATCTCACAAGCAGAGGAAACTTATGTCAAGTATTCAAGTCAGTGAAATTTGAGGTTCTCACAGTGAGTATGAAGATTCCTGTCTTTTCAGTCATTGTGCTGTGTAGTCTGAAAGGAGTTTACTGACATTTCAGAGGCGGCAGCACCTATGAAATGTCAATAAACTTCTACCAGGCTACATGGCGTGACCCAGAAGACAGCCATCTTTTTTGACTCAGGTTTGCACATATAAGTAATAACTGAATTATCAGATATGTTAATACGCTGTCTTTTATTTTGCATTGAAATCGCAGTGCATGATGCGAGTATTAAAGTTATTCCCCAGTGCAATAAAAACCACAATCTGTAAATATCCCAACATTAAATACTGATAATAGACAATCATCTGGATGTGTGTGTAACGTGTTGCAACCTTTTTTTACTGCACTGTACTTTGGTACTAGATGGTCAGTTCACATAGATGTCTTTATAATTTTATATTTCATTTTATTAAGTGTAGTAATATCCATTTGAATTTGCTTCTTTATAGTGCACTTGGTATGGATAAGAATTAACTTAAGTACTTAAGGCAAAATAAAAATCATAAAGTGAAAGCCCATCACATGGATAATGACAGTAAATGGTTCTTGCAACATATTCTTATGACTCGAGAGATGTTGAAGTTTATTTAAAGTATTATGAGAAACATTATATAATGGTAACTTAAAACTAATATGTAAAGAATTCCAAGCCACAAATGTAACAAATGCAGAATGATTCAACCAAAATGTCTAGAAATAATACTGTAAGAAAAATATTGCTCTATAGGTATGTTAATTTTATTTAATTTGTTTATCCTGTAAATCCAAAAATGAAAATAAGTAATATTTTACATTCAAGATACAATATTCTCGTTTGCACGTCATTTGAAAAGACTTTCAAGTCATATTCTCTAATAAACAGAGATAGAGCACCTGTAGGAAATCTTAAAATGAGAATTCTTTTTTTGTATTAGGCATTATGTTTAATGTAATTTTTATCTTGAGTTTCTTATATTAAGAATATTCAGAGTTGATGTTGATGTTTCATTTGTCACTGTAATTCACTTAATTACATGAGAAATATGTTGTTGAATCAGTCTGCTGAGTGTTCATCAACTATCAGTTGTGAATGTTGGTACATTATGTTCATGAGTTGTGTGTGTGCATGCACATATACACACACATGCACATGAATAAGCAAATTTCTGTAGAATGTTGAGAAGAAAGTTGATCAGAGAAAGGAAGCAAGAACCAGTTGTTTAGAATGACTTTTCATTTTGAAAGCTAAATTTGAGGTTTTGCTTTAGAATTTCAGAACAATAAATTTTGATATTTCATGGAGAAAATTTGACACTGAGACAGTTATGCTGGGACCACAGTTACAATAGTAAATGGGGATTTAATTATATTAAAACACCGAAAGAACTCTATAATTCAATTTATCAAAACTATATTTCAATTACTGATTGCATAAAAACAGTATTTATGGTCCAAGATCATATTTTCTTACATAATGCAGTGTAGTAACATCTTTTCTAGTGCGATCTTTGGCAATAAGATTTATAATTTCAAATTATGTAATTACACTACAAACAGATTTTTAATTTGTCCCCATTTCTCATCAGAAAGGGCTGCCAGACAATAAGATTTTACAATAAAATTTCTTTGCAACAACATGTACCCAGCACTGGCAGATGAGAATACAATCTGTTTTTACAAAATTCTTCCTCAGTATTCTAAGACTGCTTCAGAATGTTTATGAGTGAGTGTGTGTCCTTCAGATGAATATTTAATATTTGTATCTTTTACCGCAGCCATCTCAGTGTTATCTTCCTCTTCCTCATCGTCTGGACTTGGAGGAAATGTTGGCAGTACGACGCTTACACTTGGGCCGCTGCCTCCACCGGAGGAAGAGGAGGAGTCACCACCCCCTCCTCCTCCTCCCCCACCTCCAAGGAGCCCACCTTGGAGCACCAGACGTCCAATTACACGGAACAAGAACCTTGTGATATTTTGTACTATATCATCAACTGTCTAGAAGAAACAGGTGGTCCACATAGCTTGTTAGAACATTAAATAATGTTTCTGTTAACAAGGATGACTGGAAAATAACAACTGACAAGAAGACAAAAATCAACCGAATTTATTACTGACTAATTAAAATGTCACATTATCTGTGATGAACACAAATCAAATTAAAGGATTATTGAATATTTGGAAGACTTTTTCATATTAAAACCTATTATGGTTTTCACACCTTGTCAATATTATTAACAATTCATTACCAGAACTGACACCACAGAGATATTAGGCCATTATGCAATAAATAAAGCTGGTACAGCTCAGAAAAGGAACTGACTGGCTACGTGCTGTAAGACTGAGGTTCACTTTCTGGTAGGAGCAGTACCTCACTTTGATATTCAGATTGTCTGTAATTATAATTCAGTGAATACTGGGTAATACTTCTTTGGAGGTAAGTAGCCGGAGCATAACGCTGACCACTCATTTCCATTTAGTGCTGAGGTCTAGAATGCATGGAGTTTTACCTCCACACTCCCTATTCTTCATTATACAGTAAAGTTTTGGCACAAATGTAATTTAACCTTTTTTAACTGGTAAGCATCTTCAATAAATTGCTATTCAGGTTAAAGTAAGAAAGCAGCGAATGTTACTACATGAATTTTGCTTCATATACCAGCAAACTGAGTAAAATACCGCAAGCTGGGAGGGGTGGAGAAAAAAAGATTTGTCAAATTATTGAAAAGAGCAGCTGCTGTTCATCTTTAGAAACATTTTTACTGGATGGATGTATCATTTTTATTATGATAAAGATGAGGCACAATTTAAAATAAAAATATTATTTTGTATTATGCATATAATTTATTGATATTTATTACTAGAAAGTTTAGATCATGAGAACTTCATTTTATTTCTGTGAGTTGGACGAAATCTGTGTGGTTTGTTATGCTACCAACAATTTTTTTCTCTTTTCTGCGATGTCTTATTATTTTTAATCTAGTTTGTCTTTTATGCTACTTTATAGACACTGGTTTTCAGATGAAAGACTGTGAATGCAAATCAACTTACTACAGATAAAGGAACACACATGGTTGAGAAAGCTCAGCCAGATTTTAGCAACATGTCTACTGAGAATAGTTATTAAACAGAAGAAACTAGGTTAAAAAGTACATGTTAGCATCGCTTCATACAAATTGCTATGAGAGACATCTACTGTTACGTGGTGTTTAGACGATGAGCTATGGAATTATTTTCAGCTTACAATTTGGGAAGGCGTAAAGCCTTATGATGAAATGGAGGCTGTTGAACAAGAGAAATTACAAGAAACTGAAAGGAAAACATGAATCTTGACTCTCTTGAAGCTGAAGATCCTAATACTGGAAGAATAAATAAAACACACTTAAACATCACAATAATTCTGATAACAATGCCAGATCTGTTGGCATAATAATATTTAATTGAACTCATAAATTATAGCAAATAGAGGATTAAATGCTGTTAATATAGACGTAGGCTTCTAGAGCCAATATTCAAGATAATGTGCTCATTTTGCTACAATAATAAATAGACAGACTATGCTGACACACTGACAAAACTACGCTAGTGGCCTGTCTAAAATAATCCAGTTTTTCTATATTTCTCAGTGAACTGAAGTACATAAAGTAGTTTGGTGCCTATTATATTGCAACTTCTGGGAAGTTTATGGCATTCTTAAAGTATGAAATGCGGATCATGTAGTTGCAAAAGCATTTTTAAACGAGCTATTTATTGTTAAGTATGTCCTGCAGTTTCTTATTGCTTTCAGATATCTGTTTTAGGGGTTTTGTTTTATAAGTGGGGCACTTTTTGCCTCTTTTCTTCACAGACACAACTTTCACCGTTCTATATGCCTGAAGCACTGAGAAATAATTGACAACTTAATATTGCATAAGAGACTATCCAGTTAAGTACATAACTTGAACTAGCTAAAACTAATTTCTACCAACTGCTCAGTAGATGTGTAATGCAGGATCTAAGCTAGTCAAAAAATTCCCTGCTCTCATAAGACACAAAGATTGAAAATAATGATCACCAAATTTGTCATTCATTAAAAACATTTTTTTTCTGAAGTCCACTTTCAAATTTTCTGTTGCCTGTTCTGCAAATGATCATAAACTTTAAACTAAATTAATATATTAATTTCATCCCATACTTCATTCTAATTCATTACTGGGTACAGACGCTGTTATAAGTGAAACTGCTCTTTTCTTTTCCAGTCTCTGAACTTCAAAACTGCTGTATGTCTGTCTCTCTCTGAAGGCAAAACTTTTGTGGCAGCTTAATGTGAAAATACTTACATATTTTACATAGCATTTTATTTTTCGTTCAAGTTTAAGTATGTCACACATCTACAGATCTGCTGGTGCAATATAATGTGAAAATGCTAGTAACTGTTAAGATTCTATTTTATTAACTAATGATGTGAATATATTGTTACAAATTCCGGAAAAATATTATGTTAAGAAATACTTATACTAATTTCAAAATATGCTCATCTGAAAGTAATACTGTATATTTAGCAGAACAGTTTGAAAAAAAAAATTAAAGTCTTAGTAATTAACCCATAGTTGCATTACCTAATTTACTGCGTCCTAATGCTATGAGACAAGTCCATTTCAAATCCCTTTTTACACTACATTTTAGAATATTAGTCATGGCAAGAGAGATTTAATGTTTTTACCATCTACTACTAGAAGTGATGTGTGTAATATAAAGCTTACTAAAGGTTAAATTGTTATTCCAAAATGAAATGTTGCTCTAAAGTTGTCAAATTCTTATAAAATGTAAAATGTTTTTATTTAAATAGGTGAAGGGGCAGTATGAGAATGTTAATTTATATCTGGTTTAACTGAAGATTATGTATTGACTGCCAATCTAAATAAGCATTACTTTCTTAATGAAGCACGCTTCGGTATATAAGTGATCTGGATGCACTAACCTTAGATAACGTAGGGAAGAGTTGCCTCAGGAAACCAATTGTTCTCTTGTCTCTTGCACTAGTATCATGCCTAGGATTTCCTAGATCTAGCGTCACTAGTGTCTCCTGAAACAAATACATCCCAGAATAGTATTTGAAAATATTTTAATAAAGTCTTCAGAGCAAAATGCTGAATGAATTTTTCATGTTCAGACCACTGCAACATTTTGTTTTATTTCGTTCAAAAATCCTGTTTCTATAAAATCATTACAAAACTGTACAAAAGTTTTATCAACACGTTGTAATATTTCTTTTCTTTTCTTTCTTTCTTTCTTTCTTTCTTTCTTCTTTTTTTTTTTTAATATTTGTAGTGCTCGATTCTTTTACAGGTTTGTCCCGTCTCACTAAGTTATTAGCTTTTACTTCCGGCGCAGTGAAAGGTGGAGTCATCTAACCAGAATCTAAGCGACAAAAAGAGACAAATTCTAACAACAAATAACATTCATTGCCCATTTGTACTTGTGAAACTAAAGACGACACAGGCAGCTTTTCGTGGTTTTTATCTGTTCCAGAACATTTTTGAGACAGATTCTTAACCCTTTCAATGCTGAAATTTTAGTCAGAAATGCATTATTTTTGTTTTATATCTACAAAACTAAGAAATTTAATGGTTGTCCTGATATTTAAATGGGCTTCCTCTGAATCTCCAGCGAATTCTTCCAAATCCTCATCTACTCACTGTTATCGTCTCCCATTTCATTTTATGACAAGCTGAAGCAGTGTCTTAAAATAAAGGAAGAATCAATGCAGGGCCATAGTTAAATTACTTTACACGTTACTGAATTATGATATAAATAACCGTGTTATTGAGATAAAGTTCGTTCCATCTTCGCAAAAGGGCAGTTTTACATTTCTGGTTCTAATGCATATGAAATTTGATGAAACAAGTAAACAATTTATTATAAAAAGGGACGAAGAAATACAAAGTCTGTGCGTATTTGTTAGCATGACGAAACTCGTTTGATCATGATGGATCAAAAAACAACTTCGATTCGTGTTTTTGCCTGTGTTTGAATGAGTGCATATAATTACTCGATGTCTTTATAGTTACAAGAAGTAAGATGTTATTTCGATTCTTATTTAATGAACACATTTGCCTTAAATCACCGATTCGTGCTTTAAAATGTCAGCCACTCACGTGGCTTCGAAATACTTAATAAAAAAGGAAAACCTAGCATCTGGATATCCACTGAGTGTACCAGGTGATATTGAAGAATTATGAAAATTATTTATTTTCAGTGTAATTTATACTGATTACTATGAATATTTATATTCCTAATAAGAGACATTACACTTTATTTATTGGGTTTGAAAACGGACTTACAGTCACACTATTAGCATGTGCATTATGTGACATATAAACCACTTTCTCTTTCACCTTCTACTTTCACTACGTTACGTCTTTGCGGGAAAGAAATGATAACTCGGGTTATATATTGTGACAAATAACTGATCGCGTCCAGAAATTAAGATTCACGCAGAACTACAATTCTATAAGCCAAACGCTTTTAAGCTAATGATGTTGCGTCTACTGGGACCTTTCTATCTGTAAGATCAATTACGACTGCAGTTTTGGTTTAACTAGGAATTATTTTAAGATTTAGCATTAAAGTATCGATACAGGAAAACTGCGGGGGTGGATTGGTTAGCGAAGTTTAATAAATATAAATAAGGCTTAAATTCATATATCGTATTTTAAACTTGTTCCACCTATCCTCTTGGGTTACTTTAATGCAGTTACAATTTAAAATGTATTACTATTATGTCGTAATAGGACGCTACCATTTCTTTTAACATTCTTCCTAATTTATCATTAACATCCTCGCAAGCGAAAATGTATCCGTAAATATACAGGAAAATAAATAATTTATAATTAACGATTCCTTGGGGACGTAAGACGCACGACAAGTCTATCTAATTATCTTCTGAATTAATGTCAGCTTGCACTTCCCAAGGTGAACCTGTTTGTACAAAGGGAACTGTGGTGATATAATTACGGACAGAAACACTCGCTTTGTCTTCTGCTGTAAGGCAGATATCACTACACTTATGTTATTCCAGTCTTTTTATATACATAATGTAAATTTGAGTTCGATTTAAATTATTTAATTTGTCTGTAGGTGCAAATAACCACTTCAGTGATAACCAGTTAACGTTTAGGCAGGCGGGGACTGAGACCATGTCATCAAGTTAACACTCTAAGAGAATGGTCTGTGCGGTCTACATTGAGTAGGACAATGGAAGGCACCTATCCGAAGGAACAGAACTTAAAATAGCAATTAGAGTGAAAATTTTAAATTCTTTAATTAATTTAATAAGTACAATGACGCGTGGGCCTTGTGCCGCTTGGACACTGGGACCGTGGGTTCGAATCCCATTTAGGGCATCTGCGACAGGGTTTGTCTGCGTCTTTCTGTGTTGTGCTGTCCTGTGTACAGGTAGAGGCCTTGCGACGGGCCGATCCCTCGTCCAAGGAGTCCTACCAAAAATGTCTATAGATCACGCAAACCTCCAAAAAAAGAAAAGAGAGGAAAAAGTAGGCCCCACCAAAGCGGGAAAAGTCTAAAGAATAATAAGAATAAGCGTAAGTACAATGGCATCAACAGTTTCTATGACGATCGTGGTGATAACTCCAACGGGCAGACCTGAAGATCGGCTACAATGTACATAAAAGCAGTCATCTTGAGCAGTAACTCAATTACAGTAGTACCAATACAACTGACAGTCGAGGATGTGCACACGGAAGACTTTCACCTCCGTTATTGTTATTATTATTATTATTATTATCGTAATTTGGCCAAGACAATAACTCGGTTTGCAGAATTACGTGAACAATATTGCGTCCATAGTAACAGGACAGTGCTCTGGCTTCGCTGCGAAACAGAAACTAAGGACAGTGACAGAGAAAAAAATTTGAAGTACCGGAACTCACTATTTCGGGGAAAAAATTGTGTGCGTTCTTTGCACAAAGAATAAGCACGTAGGAAATATCTTGTATATTCCTCTATATCTGTCAACATGTTTCTTCTTCCAAACCGACGGATTTTGATTAAATTTGGGATAGGTAGTCTATACTAAAAGTTACAGGGTAAAATCAATGTTAATCCTTATCCTTGGGTTTTCGCTACTGGAATTCAATGCAAGTCTTCGTCGCTTGGGAATGAGGCAAAGTTGTACATTGAAATTCATTTTCGTTCGATTAAATCGGCTCAGTAGGCTGAGACCACAACATCAATGCTGGAAACGAAGTTCTTATATTACATAAAAGTTACTGATATTGCAGAAAACTGATCTATGTAACTCTTTACGTTACACAATTTTCATTTGAAGACATCCATCGCGAAAATTTGAGTTCTGTATTAGCTGCGTGATTAGTTTTTTGTACCCGCAATAAATGAAAATCAAAGCCAATGAATAATTCAGTTCAGCGAATAACGCATTTGGATGCAAGTCACAGAATACGCCTTTTTTTTTTTAAAGAACTCACTTATAATATTGATGTTTGTAGTTGAGTCATAGGGCTGATAGACACTCAGCTCGGTAAGTGGCTTCGAGTACTGACTGTTGTTGCGTTTTAACAACAGAGATTACAAATAACCACGGAAATGTACAAACGCAAGACGATTTCTTTAAACAAAAAGCAGAATGGGAAGGTTAAGATTGACCTTCATGACTGCAGTTAAAGCAATGATTAAATATGAAATTGTTGCGACGATTATAAAAAAATCTTTATATTCTTTCGTCATTTAAATTTCTCTCATTCTACATAAGAAATGGCTTCCACTCAAGTTGAACGACCTTTAGTTTGAACATGGAAGCAATGTAAATGCTTTTACACGGTAATTAATGAAAAAAAAACTTCCTTCACCAGTGAAAGCCTCAATGAAGAGTACGCTGTTTTAACCAACTACAGAATTAGTGTCTTTTCGGTTAAAAACTGCCATTGCAACAGCAAATTCTCTTGCGTGAACGCACGACGGTTACAACAGTTTGTTCAGAACGGGAGCATTCAGAAAGCGTCCCAAACCATGCAAGAGTATTTTCATTTTCCATTTTTATACCGGCTTCCGGCTTCTCTTTTTCGTTTCTGTACAACAGTGAACGTGCAGACGATTTATATTTCGTGTAAGATTTACTTAAGTTCATTGAGTAATCGTAATTGTTTGCAGAAATTATCTCAGATCGGCAAAGCTTGTGGTCTGATTTCGATGGTCCACACTTAACACGCGTTGTTATTTTACTAGGGATTTCCTCAGAATCAGTGAGCTTTATTTACATATTATATAAGACACAATGTGTCTATAATGTTTAATAAAAGATAATTTTTTGCCATATAAAGTAGCCCAAGAATTGTATTTAGCCCTAAGATAAACTGAAATAAATTAAAACTAGTTTCTTGTAATCAGTATTTTATTTTTATTTGTAGTGTTCTGTCTGAGGACAGGTCCATATGAACAGGATCCTTCCATCCTTTTCTCGGACTGGGACCTGTTCATATACGTTCTTGGCAGATGATCCAGAAGTGGTTTGCCATTGCCTGCTTCTGTGTGTGAATAGAGTAATTGTTGGGATGCCACGGAGAAAAACTCCGTGTTGCCTAGACCACCACAAGTTATAAATTCGAACCCGAGACCCCAGGATTACAAGGCCAGCGTTCTAACCGCTAGACCACCGTGGCGGTATGTAATCAGTAAGCAGTACATAATTTTATAAAACATCAAAAATAGCAAATAAAGCTCAGCATAGAAATAGATATGTACAAAATTAGATTTACAAATTACTGAATTATATGTGGATACGGAGAATAGATGTAATTTTTGTACTGTTCCTGAGTACGGAGCCAAGACCCGCTCCTTTAAACGATAATTGAATAACATTCTAAGCTAAACTAAACAAGGTCATGGAAATCCGATCATGTACCACTTTCCATTCACAGATCGTTATCCTAGCGCATTGCACGGGGCACGAACTTCTTTGAAAATCTGACAGGTTTCACAGAAAGAAATCCCAGTATTTTTAGAATCTGAACGTTCATTACCGTGTTCAAAAATACTCGTCACTGCATT